CCTTCATCTTAAGGAAACCGAGAGTTGCGCATATGAAAGCGTTTCCATGCCGTAGCTTGAGCTACAAGATGCGTTACTCGCTACCCGCTTGCAGGAAGATATCCTCAAAGCTCTTCCTCAGTCGAATACGTTCATATGGACTGATAGCACCACTGTACTTCAGTGGCTGGAATCGGATAGTAAGCAACTCACTTTCGTGGCAATTCCGATTGGAGAAATTCTGGATTGTACGACCGTGGACCAATGGTTTCACGTCTTGAGTGAGGAAAACACTGCCAATACGGGAACCAGAGGAATCTAAGCGGAGTCCTTAGAACGAGTAGCTGGGTGAATGGGCCAAATTTGTTGAAAAACAGCGAGTGGCTTCTCAAGCCTAGCATTGAAGTACTGAAAAAGATCCGTTGGCTGGTCCCGCGTGTGACCATAATGAAGATTTAGAGCATGTCTTTAATTTTGCAAACGTAGTACAAAAAAAAACATTTTAACTACATGGGAAAAATTCAGCTCCATTTGTAGACTCCAGTAAGTGGTTGCCTTTATGCTCAGACTGAGTCCAAAACACCGGCACTGCCGCACTCAAGTCAAGGAAATAACCGATCCGGCTGAATTAGAAACCGCCAATCAAAAACGTTTAGAAAATCTGCGAGCTGTATTCCACTTGAAGTTTGCGATATTGAATATTCGCTCTTTGTAAAAGTCCATTGAAGTCAACTGCCTTACCTGTAGAAAGCGCAAAGACAAAACTGTCACACCTATTATAGCAGAGCTTCCAGTGGGAAGCAGAATGATTAAACTGTCGCACACATGATGGCAAAGTCTCCCATCGCTAATTGTGGAGTGATTTTTTTGGACTCTTATAGGTCTCAATCATGAGGAAGTCTGAGAAGCGATGGTTATTCCTTTTCACATGTATGAGCATAAGTGCCATTCATATTGAGAATGTCTCAACCATTGACACAAGTTTTTGTGTATTTGGAATCGAAAGATTCGTTGCCCGCCGCCGTACTCCATCAATCATTTGGTCCAATAACGGCACCAAATTTATGGCAACAGAGAAAAAACTCTTAATGTGTATTCAATTGTTGAACGCACAAGCAACCATCGAGCTGGAGAAAAAGGGAAATAATTGGAAATCTAACCCCTCGACTTCCCCGCATCACCGTGTTTCATGGGAACGACTCGTTCGTTGCTATAACAGAAAATTCTGCGCAATAAATCGAAATAGGGGACTCACTACTGAAGTACTTCAAACGTCTTTTTATCTCTTAGAAGAACCACTGAACGCTTGCTCTATAACAGCAGTAGGATGTTTTGAGGTGATAACTCCTAATAACTATTTGTTAGGCCGAAATAGTACTAGTGCCCCTTCTCTCTCTTTTCAGGAGCACTTCGACTATCGAAAGCAAAATAAACGAGCCCAAAGCTACGTCAACACAATTGGGAGTCGTTGAATTGGGATTATGTGCCAGCCCTGAATAAACGCAGTGAGTGGCACTCTGATAATAACGTAATTTTGAAAACAGGGGACTTAGTGTGGATTGTTGACAAACGCAGCCCAAGGAGACACTACGTTTGGCTTGTTTTAAAACCCTTAATTACGGAGAAGATAATATCGCCCGATCCGCCGCAATCACGACGCGCTCCGGAGAACTAACTCGAACGGCCGTAAAAATCGCACCCATTTTCTTTTGGGGGGGGGGGGCTGAGGATGTTCGCGCTCAAACTAATGACGTCACATGGCGTGAAAGTTAGCTAAAATTAGATTTTCTAAGACAGAAAAAAGGCCTTGAAATGACTGGTTTGTTCTATTAAGGTCAGTTTGCCGTCGGAAATATTTTCAGAATTTTGAGATTGTTGAGAACGTTTTGATTTCATGTTATCTAGAAAATTATTACGTTATTTTTTCAGATGTTTCTTATTTATTGTTCATCTGTTTGAGATTAGCAATAATTCAAAGATGTTGAAGCAAGTTTTTTAGCCTGATTCCGAGTCTTACTGGAACGAAAGGAAAGTGCACCACATTGTGTCTGCCTACGCTTCGTTCAACCTCCTGCACGCTTATGTACTTAACATGCTTCTTGCTAAATTTACAACTACGTCTAATGCGTTGCTATAACGCGTAGCTATCTCCTGTCCCAAAAAATGACTTCAGTCGTCCTGTCAAAGCTTCGTCTTTTCATGTCTTTACAATTCTCGGAAAGATTTTCCAGCTGCACAAGCATCTCCGTTTGGACATGGCTATCCAGCTCTTGCGACTCCATGTTTCGCCATGTTCACTGCTTGTATTGATTGGGCTTTTTTTGAACTTGACTTGTAGCTTCTATGTTTCCCAGTTACACTGGCAGTCTTCGCAGCCGTTACACTTGGAGCCTTTGGAAACGGTCTCCAACTGGTACATTTGGACTAAACCAGCGCGGAATTGCCTTCCCCCTTTTTTGTCCAGTGCGTGTAGGTTTAAGTGTCTCTTGGTTCAAGTGTGGCTGGCACATGAAAGCCATTTTAGCTTGAGTGAGTTTGCAGCTGTGTTGTTGATGGTGAAAATCAGTTCAAAATAGAATCAGTGTATTGTTTGACGCGTGAGAAGCAGAGATGAAGAGTAGGCAGGAAAAAAAAAGAGAGAGAGAGAGAGAGAGAGAGAGGGAGAGAGAGAGAGAGAGAGAGAGAGAGAGAAGTTGTGTCGCGTGCTTGAGTCCCAATGTGAAAAAAAACAGGCTAGATTTTTAGAGGTCTCTATAGCTTTCAAAATTGTATCATCCTTAGTCAAACTCTCACGCACCGACATCATTATTGTTCCGACTTCAGAAGAAAGTGACGGATTATTTGTGCTCGTGTGGTTTTTTCAGACAAATTTAGACTTTTTTTAACAAGCCGTTTTTTAAAATATTATCTGAAAGGTTTTGTTGTCCTGAGCTCAAATTTAAAAAAAAAACAATTAAACTTGTGATCAGTTTTTGTAAAGTTTTGGGGATTTAAAGATAGCCATTTTGGGCAAATTAGGACAATTAACGCGCGATATGTTTCGCGCTATTAACGCGTAAGCGGAAATTGGTTGAATCAGACTATTCGTCATTATTGCTATGTTACTAGGGGCGAAAAATACCACTTTGTATTTTGGGTTCCGTGACCTTCTGCCCGATTTCAATTTACCCTATGCCCTAAGATTAGTATAGGTTAAAATGGCATAGAAAAGTTGGAATCGGGCAGATTGTCATGGAACCTAAAATACAAAGTGATATATTTCACCCCTAATCTGCCCTATGACAATTTACACTATGCCAATTTACCCTATGTTTTTATAAATAATTCAAGTGACCAGAGAGAACTCAGCTGACTATCTCGGTTTAAGGTCAACGGTGGGCGCGCTACGGCTCACCGGCTCTAGTTGGGCGCACTAAGGTCACCGGTTCTAGTTTTCGTATAGAGTCCTACCCTCTGTAGGCAAGCTCGAAACACGTTGGCGCGACTGCGGCGATCACTTTTTTGCTGTTATAAATCCGTCTTTTTTGAGGCGTCCAGTAGATTGGCGTAGGATAGATTGGTATATAGGTCAAAATGGCACGGCTAATTGGTATAGGATAATATGGAATAGAAAGATTGTCGTGCTACCGTATTTTATATCGTTTGTTTTAGAAAAAATCTCAAATTTAAAAAATCCATTTTCTTTGTGAAAAATTCATCAATTGTTGTGAGGCAAAAATTGCGTCATAGAACTTATTTCAGCCTGATACGAGCTTTCAGTCATGCTACTATTTTTATTCCAACTTTCGAAGAAAAGGGAATATTTTAGCTTGGTGTGGTTTATTTTATTCAGTCAATTTTGGGCAATCGAAATAATAGTTTTTAACAGAAACTTTTTATGCCCCAATGAAAATACCGACTCTCTAAAATAAAATTTAAAAAAAATTCCAATTATTTTTTGTAAATTTTTGGGAGTTTGAAAATTGCCAACTTGGCTATGCTCTGAACTAATTTATGCGCAATTGGAAGATTTTATCCATAATCCTGAAAGCGTAACGCGAAATAATTATGCTTGGCGAATTATCCCGCTAAACAAACACGTTCCATATTGAATTGAGGCTATCTAGCCGGTCGTAAAAATTTTGTATGACTCAGATTTTTGCACTTGATTTTTTATATTGCTCAAAATATATAGTTATGTTTGGATATTTTTTCCCAAAAATTTGAATATAGATTGAAGGGCAATCGGAACATTCAGAACTTTGCCCTGATATACGAGCAGTCTTGTAAAATAATGATTAATAGCTGAGGTTCTGTCCCTCAGTGTTCCTATTTTTGAATCCGAATTGAACTTGCGACAAATTGAAATCATCGATAATAAGTTTGCTCCAAAATTGCTGTAGGATCAGCTAACTTGGGAGTATTGAAATTTAAATGCAAAAGTACCGCTTGTTCGTTTGTTTCTGGTTTCTTTGAACTGCTTTCTTACCATCTAAGCCTTCAATCATAACAACCCATTGAGCTGTCATGTTAATATTTCAGCTGGTATAATTCCACCGCTTCCAGCGACAGACGCAGAAAAAAATTAGCGGGCAAAAATTCAGGAAAATTTGTTTACGGTGGGGTTATACCGGTTAAAATATTTACATGACAGCTCAATGTGTTGACATAATTATAGGCTTAGATGGTAAGAAAGCAGTTCAAAGAAACCAGAAACAAATAAAAATGCGGTACTTTTGCAATTAAATTCTAATACTGCCAAAATAGCTGCAGATCTTGCAGAAATTTTTCAGCCAACTTTTGTCGCTGACATCCAGTTGTTGTTTGTCACTGATTCGGATTCGTAAATAGGAAGACTGAGTCGTATAACCTTTCATTCGGATAACTGAGAATCGTGTACCAAAGTATGACAGCCACTGTCAACAATTTTTTAAATACATCCCAGTTATAACTTGATGAAGAATCTAGGAAGAGGAATACTTTGGTCAAATTCTTCAGAATAAAACAGTTTTAGCGAGAGTAAAAAATTGTTTCACTATTACCGCGCTGTCCGCAAATTGCGCGTGCTTGAGGTGGGTCCCACGCTTCTTCTGTCAGATACTCGGGACCCTTCTCGAAGGTTTCGCTCTGATGGCCGGTGCAATGTTCTCCTCCATACAGAGGACGAGTGCAGTTTCTATCGTGACTCCTAAATATGAAAACTCACTATTTAGTTTCCATACTTATCATGTGGGAAATTGTTTCATACAAAACACTGGCAATGTTTATAAGTTCGGCTTAGTTAGCAGATGTTAAAACTTCCGAATAAATTTTAGAACATTGCGATGGCGCCAGGCGCGAATTTAGGAATTTCTCAAGGGGGTGGGCGGATTTTCAAAAAAAAATTGTCGACCAATTTGATTTTTTGAGCTCTCGCAAATCACTATAATGACCCAAATTTGACGAAGTTATCTGCGCCGCAGGCAAATTTTTGAAAAAAAGCCGAAAATGGCGTTTTTAGGCACTTTGGAAAACTTCGACTAAAAAATCGCGTTTTTTTCGGCGCACGCTCCCCCCTCAAAATTAGTATAGATTGGCGCCAAAGGCGCCTTTAGAAAATTTCAAAGTATCTCAGCTAAAAATGGATATCTCAAAGTAGTACAAAGGGAGGACCCTTTGGGTAGGCAGCGGGTCGAATTCCTGAGGAAAATAGCGTCCGCCCCCGCCCCCCCCCCTAATTCCGCTACTGGATGGCGCTCATGCTTGTGGGACGCCAAAAAGTTATCTATTGAAAAAAAAAATTTTTCTGTGTAGTTTTATTGGCAATTTCTCGAAAAGATTGGAATGTTCCCGAAGTCAAAGTTTTTGCTAGATTTGACTTTTTGTATATTCCGTTTTTTTGCATGTAATTCAGTTTTGTGGAAAAGTTGAAAATGCTTTTTGGAACTTTTTTGTCGGTTTTTGATCAAAAATTTACAAGCGTTTTGATCTAACTTTTTAGGCACCATTTTAAGAAAAAATTTAACAATTTAACAAACCAATATTGAACCGAGTTTCTTAGAAGGTTATTTGAAGGTTATAGAAGCTTTGAGAAGAAAATTTTAAAAATTTTGCCTGTGATCATTTTTGTTAAAGCTCTGTTGTTTTGGAAAATGCTGTTTTGGCTATTTTGGAACAACCAACAAGTGATATATTTTGTTCTGTGAAGGCGTGACAGAACAAAATATATCGCTTGTTGGTTGTTCCAAAATAGCAGTTCAATTTGGAAACTCAGTTCAATAGTGGTTATGAGTTAGGACCGAAGTTGGTTAACTCATAGAGTAATTTCGGATAGGGTACACCGTCTGCTCGTCACGCTATCTTATTTTCGGCCGGATAGATTCGTGCAACTTCTTAGTCTAATACCGATCCTAATCTTACTCTTATACTATCTAGTCTCAGGTTGTTTAACTAGTCTCTGCTAGGCTCAATAGATCTAGGGTATACTGGTTTATTGCGGCTGCTGAAGTGCTCGGGAGAGTCCAACTAATTTCTAAGTTAAATTCAAATCTCTCTGGTGCTGAAATTACAAGTAACTTCAGCACTTACAAATAAGTGGGTTGTTAGTTAGATGGATCATGATTGGTTAATATTAAATACTTTACATTGGTAAAATATCTAAATTATCCAATCATAAAATGTAGTTTAGATCAGGTTCCACCCATCCGGGTTTTACAGAGTTTTTTAGAATAGTTCTTCTGCAATTCGAAGGATGGATGATGGACGTTGGTGTTTGGCGAACATCTTACTTCTTATGTTTCCTTTTTGTTAAAGAAGTTCCAGGAAGCTGGAGTTAGAGACATAAGACGTTGTGTCTTCTAGTGACAACGACTAAGTCTTCGCAACAAACTCAAATCTGATTTCAGAATGGTTGGCTATGTCAGGTTTTTCTGTTCTGCGTGGAGAACTTCTTTTGTGTCTGATCTAGTTTGGGAATGGCGTGGAGATTGTGCGTGGAGGGGATGCCTGGTTACTCGGATCTGTACGTATACTTGAACATCGAGGTGGTCATTGGTCTAGTTCAATGAAGTCCTTTTCTGCGAAGTCAAGTCGTACTCTAAATCCTTTGAGTTGTGATTGTGAGTGGCATATCGATTGTGGTTGGTCATTCTCTCTCGAGTGTAGTGGGGTCGTTTTGTCTTTAGATGTTCGTCCTTGGTGTTGTATTCTGATCTATGTATTGCATAATGTAATTTACATTTTATAAAACATTTATTAGTTTAATATTTTTTAATTATGATTTTAGTTAGTTGTTTTCACAAAAGCTTTTTTATTTTAGTTCGGTTATTTTGAAGAGTTACTCACACTTGAGTAGCTCTTATTAAAAATAGAGGTGTGGTCACAAAGCGTGGATGTAGCGCGGTGGGTTAGGCCGGCTATAGAGCATGCTCAGGACGTCCTTCCTGGTGGGTTAGGCCAGGAATGGGAGTATGATTTCATGCGGTTTTTGTGAGGGGTCCTGTTATGTGACAACGTTTTATGTTGGGTTTGTTGTGGTTTTTCTTATGTCTTGTTGGTTATGTCCTTTTTCCAAAAAGCAAATTGTTCGTGGTATGGGTTTGTCTTTCGACTTTTTTGTGTTTTATTATTTCTTTCTTAGACTTTATAATAGTCTTCAAAAGAATAAATTATCCAGTTTTAAACTGGGTTAATCCGGTTTGGGTACCGTTGGTTTCCTTTTCTTAGTCATGCTGTTATTCTATGATTTGTGGTATTTAGTAAGCTGCGTTGGTTAGTTTTGTTTAATATATGATTCCTTTCCAACCGGGTTAAAGGAAAGTTTGAAACATGTTATTATATGTTAGAGTTGTTGAGTGTGAAAACTTGAAACTGAAATTCATTATTTTAAACAATTCTTCGTGGGCGAGCTGTGCGAGTGTGGATATAATTTCTGTGCGAATGAATGAAAATATCAAAAGGTTAGTACTGCATTTGCATTTTATTAATTTACTGCATAGAATTTGGAAATTTACTGCTAGTTATGGGGGAATTTTAAGTTACAAATTTTCATCATAATTAGATTTACTGCTTGTGGGAAAAATTTTAGAAATGAATTTACTGCATTGGTATTAAATTTATAAATTTATAAGTGTAAGAGATTAATAGAATTTTTGAAATCTGTTTGATGAAATTTGCGATTTTTATTTGTCTTTTGTGGTTTTTGTAGGTGATTGTCGGATGAAGGCTAAAAATCTAAAAAAAACATGGATAAAGTATGGTGAGTTTTTTAATATTTCAATTAGTTAGTTATATTCTTTTAATTCATACTTACCTGTTAGTCGTCGGGGAAAAAACCGTGGGGGAAGATGTCGTGAATTAGTTCTGAAGTTGTTAGTAGTTTAGCTAAGATGCGGATGATATTTTTAGTCTGAAGCAGTGGCCAAAGCAATTGGAGTGCCTTGATAGTGGTTAGTTCTTCAGTGCCAACTGCAAACTCATAAGGTGTGTTTTGGATTAGATTATATAATTTGTGATTGAATTTAGTGTTGTGGATGAATTCTAAAATTGGGATTTCTATAGGTTGTACAAACTCGTGCGGGATAAGGAAGGGTCGGGATTCTTCGGCGTTGAAGGTCTTGGTGATTGGACAGAAGATGTACATTTGGGTTATGGGATCATAATTACGAAGAATACCATGAAGGTTAGTATCTTTAATGCAATATGTGAAATTTAGGAAAAATGGTGAAGTGTATTTGGAATTAATGAATTGAAAACGATGGTGTGGTTGTCTAGAGGGTGTGTGTAGGTCAAAGAAATTTTGGATGAAGCGATAATAACTATATGTGTGGGTTTGTTTAGTGCGCAACATAATATCGTGTGAGCAGTGTAAATCTCTTTCGTGTGGTGCAAGGAAATGAAAGGTTAGTGAAAATATTTGGAAGCGTTCTTTAAAACTTTCGTATGCTTGTGTGTCTGTTAGTGCTTCTGAAATAATGTGATCAAACTTTCGGTCGAAGATGTTTAGTGTAAATATATATGGTGTCTTGATGAAAAATTTCTCGGTAATTTGTGGATTAGCGAAGCGATCGTCGTCTAAGAATTGATCTTGGTTAGCTCTGATGATGTTGTGATCATAGTATTCGAGTGTATATTCGTTAGCTCTAGGTGCAGTGTGTGTTTTTAGTGATTTTTTATATCCAACGTAAGTAAATTGTCTAGGTGTTAGTGGTGTAGTGAGTCGATATAGCATGTCCGTATTTCGCTCTATATCGATGTGAGTGTTAGATAAAGGTAAGCAAAGAGGGTTAGTAAAATGATAATATGAGGTCCAAGAGAGAGTGGGCATTAAAACGTATTCATCTACAAAGTTGCGTGTTTCGTTAGTGTCGTGGGGGGTGTTTAAGGTGTATTGTGGGAATGAGGGTAAGGTGATGGCTAAAAATTCTTTTGTGTTAGTATGCTTGGGGTGGTTGATGTATTCACGGGCTGTTCCTGGTTTTGTTGGGAAAGGATGGTTGGGGAACTTTCTTTTAAAAGTGCGGTAAGCTCTATTAGTGTTGAGTGAAGATTCAGTTGATGTGGATGATGGTGCTAATGATTCAGTATAATTTGAAGAGGGTGTAGGGGTAGGGGGGTTGGATGAATTTATAGTGGAGGATATTTGGTTTATGGTTGGGGTATTAAGGTGGTAGGGTTGTTGTTGGAGGGTAATAAAATTATCTAGCTCTGGGGAGATTCGGGGGGTGTCTGGAGAATGAGATGATTGGTCAGAATGGTATGAGGAGTAGGTTGGGGTAACTTGGGAAGCATAAGAGGGTGTGGGAGTGATTGGGTCAGGGTTATTGGATAATAAGGGTTGAAAAGGGGGTTGAGAAAAATTAGAAGAGTTATGAAAATTATTGGATGGGGATGGTTCTGAGTCGGCAAATTCATCGGGGGTTTCAATATTCGAGTTATTGAGTTGTGAGATGGAATATAAAACTGAGATGTGTGAATTAGTGTCGGAATTCATGCCTGATGTTACATTACTAGATGGAAAATCGGGTGGCGGAAAAGCAAAAAGTGGTATTATTGGGATTGGAGAGGTAAGATTGGTTGGGTGGGAATTTGATCGGTGTAGTGATCCAAGTTGGCGGCTCATCGTGGGCTAAAAAAATGATTATTTTGAGACTGAAAAGCGGTGGTATGGGGTTGTTCAATAATTTGTTCATAAGTATTATCATCTTGTGA